AGGTCTGTGTAGACAGTAAAAGCCCGACTGTCAACATAGTACCTGACATGTTGGATGGCTAAATAAATGGCAAGTAATTCCCTATCATAAGTACTGTATCAACATTCAGTTGGAGAGAGTTTGTGAGAATAGTATGCAATTGGTTGCCACTGGTTGTGTACTGATTGTGAGAATAGTATGCAATTGGTTGCCACTGGTTGTGTACTGATTGTTGCAAGACAGCACACACAGCTACATCTGAAGCATCACTCATAATAGATACCACAGCACCAGGCTTAGGATGAAATAACGAAGTTGTGTTTGCCAGATCTGTTTTAGCGTGGTCAAAAGCAGTGAGACATTCCTCAGACCACTGTAATTCAGAATTAGTGACAGAATGAGAAAGGAGTGTATGGAGAGGATGGAGTATTTGAGCACATCAAGGTATGAAACAATGATAATAATTGATTAATCCCAGGAACTCTCTCAGTTTACGTTGTGACTTTGGTAAAGGAAAATTTCTCACTGCAGACACTCTGGACTCAAGTGGAGAGATTCCATCCTTGTTAACAGTAGGACCAAGGAATTGTAGAGAAGGGCCTCCTAACTGATACTTACTAGGATTTACAATAACTCCATATTCCTTGAAACGATCAAATATTTGCTTGAGATGTTGAAGATGTTCTTCACTGCTACTGGCAATTAATACATCAGCAATATAAGCATATGCAAAATGAAGTCCCCGTAAGACCTGATCCATGAAACGCTGGAACGTCTGTGATGCATTCCTTAAACCAAAAGGCATCCGTAAGAACTCAAATTAACCAAATGGAGTCGTTATAGCAGTCTCGGGAACATCAGCTGGATGTACAGGGATCTGATGATATGCTCTTTTCAGATCTAATTTGAAGAAAATAGTTGAGCCATGAAGTGTGGAGCTGAATTTCTGAATGAGGGATAGGATATTTGTCCAGAATAGTGACATGGTTGAGTTGATGGTAATCTCCACATGGTCTCCAGTCACCTTGTGTGGGTTTGGGAACTAAGTGTAAGGCGGAAGACCAGCAGCTTGAGGAGGGCTGTATAATTCCCAACTCTAGCATGTGTTCAAATTCAGCACCGGCTACCTTCAAACGATCAGGCACTAATTGCCGAGTACGTACAGAAGTAGAAGGGCCTGTAGTATTGATTTAATGTACGACATGATGCTTCACTGGAGCTAGAGTACCATATAGCGTAAATTTTCGTGTATAAAAATTTTCTTGATTCCATACATTTTTGCTTTCAAGTAAATTTTCGTTAAAATATTTTCGTGATTTAAATAAAATTTTGTGATGATTAAAACCACGCCTATTCACATGGCAGCTAGTAGCTAGCCTTGCAGCTGGACTTGGAGAAGTAACATGAGTGGTAGCATTATTCCGTGTGTCCGTGGCTATCACGCATACCAAGAAAGGTGGGCTCCCTTTATAGGAGAGATTCTTAGCTGTGCCCGAGAAACAAATAACAGTCGTGATGGGACATGCCCACATTTATATCAAAATTAAATTTCGTGAAAAATATTTTCATAATTGTCCATTCAATCACTGAAATCACAAAAATTTTTAACTATGAAAATTTGACGCTATGCGGTTTTCTTTGGTTGTAGTAATTCTGGGTACCCTAAAAGGAGAGAGGAAAAAGGATTAGAAGAAAGGAGAGGGTTAAGAGTAGTGAGACCTTGTGTATTTTGGTGTGTGTATATCATATTAGTTTTTAGGGTTGTATTAGCATCCATGAGATTTTTACTACAAACATCGACCAGTAAACCATGGTTTTGGAGGAAGTCCACTCCTAAAATGGGATGCTTAATGTCTGCTATAATAAATATCAATCGAAATGGACAACAAAGTCCTAAATTAAGAGTTAGTGAACGGGTCCCATAAGTAGAAATTTGACTACCAATAGCAGCTTGAAGAGATCAACTAGCTGGTCCTCTCTGACTGTCGAGTTTAGTAGGAGGAATAGTACTAACCTCAGCTCCCATATCCACCAAGTACCTGAGATGAGAAAATCTATCCAACACAAAAAAGAGGCGACAGGTACTTTGGCCGAAGGCACCAGTCACCATCAACGATTGGCCTGTACGTTTCCCTGAGACCAAGAGCAAGGTTTGGTGCACTTAGTAGCCTTCTCAGCAAATTGGGCGTGGTACCAGCATAAGGTAGTGGGTCTATCAGGTGGAGCTGGGCTGGGAGTACGGCGTCTAAAAGAACGAGGGTGCCTTAAATCAGAGAGGGACGTCACCAGCTTCTTGAGAGTAGCAATATCACTACGTAGCTGTTCTACCTCAGTGGAGAGTTCTGTAGTTTGTACTGCATTAACAGCACGTGAGGCTACTTCTACCACTTTGTCAGCCAAAGAAGCCAGAGACTCAAGATCCTCATCATCCTTAGTAGAGGCGAGAACCATACATACATTTGGAGGCAAGCGCTGGAGGAATAACTGGCGAAGAAAAGACTGATTAAAAGAAGCAGCTTTGCCACCCAACAACTGTTGCGTATGTCGTAAAAGTTGAGAGGGTGTCCTGTCTCCTAAGTCCTCCGCATTAATAGGTAACTGAAGACGGCGTTGTTCAGAGGCAGTGGTCCTCTTGATTAATTCCTCCTTAAGTCTATCATAAGGGTCGGCATCTGGAGGCTTCAGAATGAGGTCTCGTACTTCAGCAGCATACTGGGGATCCAAGGTAGCTATAACGTATTCGAACTTGGTCGCCTGTGAAGTAACACGGAACTGTGCGTCGACCTGCGCGAACCATAGTTCAGGATCTGCTGGCCAAAACGTAGGTAGCTTGCAAGAGACGGTCACCAAGGTGGGTCTGAAACAGGTGAAGGATAGCCTTGGCACGACATAACTAAAGTAAAGCACGTTCGGGTCACCAATGATAAGAGTGAAGATCTCAATGAATATACTTTATAATGAAAATGTTATCACAGATAAAGATCGAGAGGGATAGAGAATAGTGAGTTAGAGAAGACTAAAGGACAATCAAAATTCATGAACATGTGTCTCTGATGTGCATGTGCATAAGCACATGGCATCTACTACAGAGGTAAGTAATGACAAGACTGTGTTTTGGGTTTGATGCAGGTGAAAGTTTGCCTTGATATTCATAACTAGTTAGCACTTTACTCTAGAGTGTCTTACAGTGTTTATAGTTTAATTGCTACACTGTTAATCAGTGTGCCATAATTGTGGTAATGTTTGGTAGCATTACTTGAGTTTTCAGTTAATTAAACGTACATGCATGTTAACTCAGGAAGGAAGCGGCAAATTCGCTACAGTTTTACTCCCCCCACACTACTGTCTTTAGCTAAGAAAAAGAGAAAACTGGTCAGAGAAGTCTATGTTGTCTGCCATTGAGCTGTTAAGAATGGCTTGTAAGTATACAGGGCAGCTTTAGAGTGTGTGAGTTCCAAGGACTGCTTTACGTAATACAATATCAGGCTGAGTAAGCAAATCAGAGATAGCTGAGAAAGTTAAACAAGATAAAGGTCTGCTATAAGGGAAAAAAATATCTGATGGTTGGTTTCGCTGTTTCATGGAGAAAAATTCTCAACCTGCTCTTTGTAAAGGAGATTCTACTTCACAAGCACAAAATTAATGTATGCAATAAGTCAAAAGGATAAGATAATTTGCTACATGAGATAAAAGAAGTGGTAGTTAATATGGAATTCATTGATAAACCAACCCACATTTATGTAAGTGAAGCTGTTATGCCACTTGACCATTGTCCACCTCATGTGGTTGTAAAGAAGGGCCAGAGAAAGGTGTTGTTAGTTTTCAGCAAATTACAGTCTAGTTACTGTAGTAGCCTGTGCAAATGCTGCTGGATCAGCCCTTCCTCCATTGTCAAATTTAATGCTAAAAAGTTTACTGACATTGAATTGTTTAAAAGCTTGTGTCATGACATTTTTTAAAGCATGCTGTTAGTGCATGTCTTTGCTGTCACTACTCAATGGTCGTAGCACACATTATAATCAAGATGTCATTCATCTAGCAAAACAAAATGATGCCATCATTATAGCCCAGGTACCTCATACAAATCATGAAATGCAACCTTTGTACAAGTCTGTATTTGTTTCACTTAAGGGACACTGGCATGATGTTTGTCATGAGCTTCTGGAAAGAAATCCTGAAAAAGTTATTTTTCTATGTTCCAGTTTAGCTTTTTCTGTCCACAGCATGGTTGAAATCCTTAAATCTTACTAAGTATGATTCACCGCAAAACACAATGGCTGCCACAACTTTTGCAGCCTTGCTTTACCAGGAAAACAAACTCCTATGCTTTTTAGACAACATTATCTTGACCATAGGACTCCAGTAATACTAATAGCATGGCTAATATCTGTGGTACGTGCATGCTCAGTAGTTGAACTGGTGCTACAGTACATTGAATGAAACTTGAACGATAGTACAGTTAACCACTAACCTAGTCGCATGACCATTGCTATTGGTAATGTGGGATATAATGTGCAATTATTTGAAGAATGTATTCCATGGAGCCATAAGTCCTTATAGCAATGATCTCCATTGGAGAATAGTCTAAAAAAGAGAGGGACTTGGGATATCATCATTGCAGGTAGCAAAGAACCTACATCTTCGTATTTCTACGGTTAACAGTTTTGAAGAAGTTCAGGAAATTTGGTATCATAAAGAAGGCTTACCCCATTCATGTGACACAAAAAATCACTTTTATACTCAAGTCTTATATGCTAGATGTTTTTATGACAAATCAGGGTATTTATATACAAGAAATCCAGGCTAAACTCCAAGAAGACTACTTAGTTTATTTGGACTGTTCTACTAACTGATAAATGACGAATTACACTTGTGGTAACTTGTTCAATGAATTGAGATGTACTTTCCTTCCAAGTCCTTTATGGCAGAAAGACAGCATGGTGTCATATCTTTCGAAATGACTGGCATGTAATATTTACAGCTAACCACTGGGCTAACAAAGGTACAACAGAAATGTACAATAAAGGGATTGTGACTCCTAAAGTAGAAAAAACAGAAGGGATATACAATTAAACCCAGATCATTCTGGTTTTGTCATATTTGACAGATTTAAATGTCAACGTACCGAAAAAATTTATTTACTTCCCGCAGAGAACAAGATTCAATTACTCATAGTGCCAGGGAACTGCACAAATCATCTGCAGCATCTTGTTATTTGCGTCAACAAGTCTATGAAAGACTTTCTGTGCAGAAATTTCCAGCAATGATATGCTGACAAATTATGCAAACAACTGCAAGAGCATCACCATCTGTTGATTATTGATTATCCTTAATAAAACCTATTGGTGAGCGTTGGTTGATTAGCCTGTATGATGATAACCTGTTACAGAAACCTGATGTTATTATTCATGGTGTTAAGCGAGCTGGAATTTCATTTCATTGATACTTCATTTCATTGACTATTACCATTTATGTCTATCAATAATTTTAATTGAGATCATAAGTGATTAAATTACAGATTACAGTGATAGATCAACAATTAGTGACACATGTGATTATGTCTGTGGAAATATTATAATGTATTTGTTAATGTAGCAGTTAGGGAGGTGGTGCTTCATCATTGACAAATATCTTGTAGTAGCAACCTACTGTGGAATTTTGACAGCAATGGCTGTTGCAAAAAGACTGCAATCAACGCCACCATGCTGCTTTTGCATGTCACGTATCACTTGCAAGACCATATCAGCTGGGAGGATGAACAAATTCTCTGTAACCTTAACAGTCTTGTTGTCCATCAATTGATCAACACAGTGAAAAATCCAGCATCATAATTCACTGTTGCTGCAAGTATTCAATGGTTTGCCCAGTCATGAATGATTTGTATGCCTAACGTTGTCTTTTGAAACAATTTTTTGTGCTGCAGGAGTGTGAATACCAGATCTTAACTACCAGGAAATTGATGTTGAAGAATTTTGTTTGAAGTTTATGAGACAATCATTCAACATCTTAATCCCAAGCAAAATCATGTCTTATTCTGTAACACAAAATCAGCCGAATTTTAGCCAAATTGAGTCATAACATTGTCAAGTATGACAGGGGATGTGTCAAAAATAGGGGTGGGCTCTATCATCATTGTGTGGTGGTGCATCGGTGGTGCATCATTATTGTATGGTGGTACATCATGGTGTGGACCAGGCCTGCAGGGTGGTTCACAGGTTCAGTAACCTCATTGTGTGGTGGTTCATTCATGTGGTGGTACATAATCATTGTGTGGTGCTTTAGTTGTACATCATCGGCATTGTGTGGTTGTCCATCATCAATGTGTGGTTAAACTAATACTTACTCTTTAAAAGAGAATTAAGAGATTTCTAATGTTAAGGGGAGGAGCTTGCAAAATGGATGAGGGAGTATTAAGAGAGGTGTTATTGGAAAAACTCTCTAGAATCAATCAAATTCTCTTAATCCCTGATTCTGACTCATTAAACAGTGCTTCTGTTTGTTTGGAGTGTCTGTATGGCCACATTTTGCGCATACACCAACAGAATGTTTCTTCTAATTATAGTAAATGAAGAATTTGTCGATACTATTTGTAAATTATTAAGTATTGTTAATAGTATTTCTAAAGATGATGGTTTGACTTGTGATAGCACTTGGCAACTACCATATGTTATAGATGGCCATCGAGGACGACCTAAATATGATATTGCACAATACCAACTACAATATGTACTTCATTTGTAAAAGGTGTATCACAGTTTGAATTTCCTGCCAGGATTTGTTGTGACCAAGGGGTCGAGAATTATGATGTAGCCATGTTTATGCTGACTCACCCACTTCGTGCTTCTATAAATCGCGTAATTGTTGGTAAAAGTGTACACAATTGAGGATTGAATGCTAATGAAGAGACTTATTGCAAGGTGTATCATGTACATATTACTATCTATTCCATTGCTTTGAGCATATAGGGCTATTGAATTCTCTAAATGAGATTGACTTACTTTGCTTGCATTATGTTTACATCAATGTTATTAATCATCATTTGGAGGAATGCGTTAATGCTTGGAATGATCACAGGATGACTTGATATCATATCATGAGTTCAATGCAGATGTGGATACATGGGTATTTCAGACTGAGGGGAACTAGTTGCACATTAGCTGAGGAAAAGTTCAATGAACCTGTGGTAAGTTAAGTGTGAAATATTCTAAAGCTGTCATAATAATAGGAACGTAATTATGGAATTGATTGGTTTGGCCCTCTTCCAACTGAAGTAGAAGAAAATGAAACCAATGCCATTACAATTCCTTTAATCAGTTGTCCCCTTTCAGTAGCAAGCTATCAAGACTTGTTACAAAGTTTTCCTAATGGTCATAGCAGCATCATGTAAGATAATTCCTATGGCATTAACACTTACATTAATGTTTGCAATTTTGTTTCAAGGGCAACATTTTAACTCTTAAGTTCCCAATTAACTTCAACTAATATTTTGTAATTGACAAAAATTAATGTTACCATTTTTTGACTTGTAAGACTTGTAATGCAGCCTCCAATTGTTTTGTAGCAATATCTTAATGTTGTCTTCATTATGATACATATGAACAAGAGTGGATAATTATTTAGGGAGAGTGTCAAACCTGCCTAAATTCTGTGATACCACAGCGCGTATGTTTACATCCGTTTTTTGCAAGTATACAGAGTTAATCTTAGTAATCTTCAAATTTATGGGTGTGGCTGATAAAATGGCGCTTGAAGCATGCAGGCAACTTAAGACATATCTCCACTCTAAGGATCATGTAGTGCGAGAAACAAGCAAGACTAGACAGAAATATATTCTAATGGTTGGCTCTTTCTTATTTGCAGCCTTCTGACTTGGAATCAGTATAAGGACGCAAGAATGGCTACTTGGTGCTAATAACCATGCTATGTAAACTTACGCACTGTGGTATCACAGATTATAGGCGGGTTAGACACTCTCCCTAAATAATTATCCACTCTTGATATGAATCATACATAGTTACAACCAAAAAAAAGTATTAATAAACTTTTGTGTTACCATTACCAAATCAGTTTTTCTCAATAATTTCAAAATTTATTTACACAGTTCAATGGATAAATGACATGCCATACCATTAAGTAACAGGCAGAAATACAAAGCAGTTATTAAATTTGTTCATGTCATGAAATAAAGTCACCAATTTTCTCGTTTCCGTTTTCCACGTCCTTTGGAAATAACACTACCTGTAGGTCTCCCTACACCTTGCGAATGATGATGTTTAGGAGTAGACTTGGTGATAATCCAATTGTTACGTACTTTAGAGAAGTCATCAGCGTGAATTCACTAAAACAGTCTCGAGCAAGTAGGCACAAAGGAGCCTCACAAGTAGTACACAGCCTTGTTTGTTGCGTATGCCAAATTTAATCTTGCAATAGACGCAATCTCTTGCTTTGGGTAATCTTTCAGATTGATGTCGAATTTCAGGTGTGGGCTTTCTTCCAGCTACTGGTTGTTGAATCAGCAATTCTATATGACAGAGTTGCCTCACCAGTGTCTCACAAAAATTGAAGTGACTTAAGGCCCCCATACACTAGGCAACATGTTGCTTGTAACACTGTTGCAAGCAACATGTTGCCTAGTGTATAATGGGTTTCCACATGTCAAGCAACACTTTGCAACATGTTGCCAGGAATAGAAGGGTTGTCTATTCAGAGCAACGTGTTGCTTCATCACATCAAAGGTTGTCATGGAGGCGGATCGCTATGAAAGATGGCTGCCACTCAGCCTGCTATTAGTTCTAGTGCTAAAGGTGTCAATTGGTCTACAGAGCTAGTATCTCAATTTATAGAGCTGCTACAACATCATCCTTGCCTTTATAACACCAAAGAAAAGAGCTACCATGACAGAAATGTTAGATGTTAGAAATGTTAAAAGCTGTTAATGAAATAGCTACTATTTTAGAAGTACAAGGTAATTGAAACTACTGTAAGAAGGGAGGTTATATAAAGTACTTGTGTATTGTGTTAGTCAATCAACGCCATTGGTTTTGGACTCATAATTAATTGTTTTAGTTGAGGACGTAACCAAAAAAATTGAAAGTATTCGTACTCAGTATTCAAGAGAATTACAGAAGTTTAAGAAAAGGCCTACTTGAACCGGAACTGATGATGTCTATAAGAGCAAATAGCCACATTTTGAAGAACTTCATTTTTTGCAATACTTTATTACTTCAAGGGCAACAACATCTAATTTACAAGCTAGTAATATATACATGTAGATTAAATAATTCCATTGTTTGTATGTATGAGTTAACTGTTCATTTAAATCATGGCATTTTGCCAGGAAACAGCACCTGCTTCTGAATTAATGTAGTCCATCATATAATTACGAAATAATTTAGAATTTTCTGATGAGTGATTACTTTCTTGCCTTTCAAAACTTTCAAAAGTAATCTCATTGCGCCATATCCATGTTGCACTTCATGAGACAGTGGATGTTCTCTATCTAGAGATCCAGGGGGTGTGTATATGGCACTGGAACTTGGGTTTGATCGTAAATAATTATGTAATAGGCAAGAGGCTAAAACTATTCTTTCCACCTTTTCAGGAGCAAGGTTTATTGATGTCATTGAAACTCAAAAACGGTTTGCTAATATGCCAAAAGCATTTTCTACAACTCGTCTTGCTCGGCTGAGTCGATAGTTATATATTCGCTTCTCTTTTGTTAAGCGAGACTGGCTAAATGGCTCCTGAATGTATTCCTTTAAGGGAAAAGCTTCATCTGCCACTAGCATATAAGGGACTGAAAGAGTACAGCCTTGTAATGGCTCTTGTGGTAGAACATTTAATGTGTTATGAGAAAGTGCATGGCACAATGTGCTCTTTCGAAAAACCCCCGTCAGATACTCTCCCATTACATCCAATATCTACATAGAGGAATTTGTAGTTAGCATCAACAACTGCTAAA